GATTTTATATCCTGCCACTTTGCTGAATTCTTGTATGAGGTCTAGCAATTTTGGGGTAGAGTCTTTTGGGTTCTCCACATAGAGTATCATGTCATCTGCAAAGAGTGAGAGTTTGACTTCTTTTTTGGTTATTTGAATGCCTTTTATTTCTTTTTGTTGTCTGCTGAGGCTAGGACTTCTAGTACCATGTTGAACAATAGTGATGATAGTGGACATCCCTGCCATGTTCCTGACCTAAAAAGTTCTGTTTTTCCCCATTGAAGAATGACATTTCCTGTGGGCTTTTCATGTATGGCTTTTATGATATTGAAGTATGTTCCCTATATCCCTACACTCTGAAGAGTTTTAATCAAGAAAGGATGCTGTACTTTGTCAAATGCTTTTTCTGTATCTATTGAGAGGATCATATGGTTTTTGTCCTTTCTTTTATTAATGTAGTGTATTGATTGATTTGTGGATGTTGAACCACCCTTGCAGCCCAGGAATAAATCCCATTTGGTTGTGGTGAATAATTCTTTTAATATACTTTTGGATCCTGTTGGCTAGTATCTTGGTGAGAATTTTGGCATCCATGTTCATCAGGGATATTGGTCTGTAATTCTTTTTAGTGGGGTGTTTGGTTTTAGGATCAAAGTAATACTGGCCTCATAGAGTTTGGAAAATTTCCTTCCATTTCTATTTTTTGAAACAGCTTCAGAAGAATAGGTATTAGTTCTTCTTTAAATGTTTGGTAGAATTCCCCTGGGAAGCCATCCGGCTCCGGACTCTTGTTTGTTGGGAGATTTTTGATTACTGCTTCAATTTCCTTGCTGGTTATGGGTCTGTTCAGGTTTTCTGTTTCTTCTTGTTTTAGTTTTGGTAGTTTATTCGTCTCTAGGAATGCATCCATTTCTTCCAGATTGCCTTAAGGTCAGAGTACCCTTAAAATCCTTTTTATTTCTGTAGAATTGATAGCAATGTCTCCTCTTTCATTTCAGATTTTAGTGGTTTGAATCTTTTGTTTTTTTCCTAGACCATCTAGTTAAAGGTTTAATTTTTTTGATCTTCTCAAAGAACCACCTTCTAGTTTTATTAATTTTTCTCTATTCTGTTTTCTATTTTGTTTATCTGTGCTATAATCTTTGTTATATTCCTTCCGTTTGCTTTGGCTTTAGTTTGTTCTTCTTCTAGTCCCTCACATTATAACTTTAGTTTGTTAAGTTGAGCTCTTTATTTTTAATGTGAGTGTTCATAGCTATAAATTTCTCCCTTAGTGCTGCTTTTGCTGCATCCCATAAGTTTTGATATGTTGTGTTTTTGTTTTCATTCATCCCTATGTATTTTCCAGTTTCCCTTTTGATTTCTTCTTTGATCCATTAGTTGTTTAAAAGTGTTATTTAGTTTCCACAATTTTGTGAATTTAAGTTCTCTGTTTCCTTATTTTTTGTGGTGGTTCTGTCCCTTTTGTGTGGATATTAAAGTCTCCAAGTGAAGTCTTCTGTCAGTTTTGATTGTCTTTTATTAGGAGTGCAAATGTTTATAATTGTTAAAATTGCTAAATTGAGCCTTTTATTAATATATAATGTCCTTTCGTGTCTCTTGAAGCCTTTTCTGTTTTAAAATGTATGTTGTCTCATATTAGTGTAGCCACCCTTGCTCTCTCTTGGTTACTGTTTGCATGATACATGTTTTTCCCTCCTTCCATTTTCAACCTTTTTGGGTCTTAGGATCTTAGTTGCTTGTAGACAGCATATAGCTGGATCATGTATTTTTATGCATTTTGACAATATCTGTCTTTATTGGAGAGTTTAATCTGTTTTCATGTAAAGTAATTATAGATAATGTCACTATGCTTATGCTGTTTGTTTTCTACCTGCCTTGTAGTTTTTTGTCCCTTGTTTCCTGCATTACTGTCTTTTAGTTGATTTTTCCATAGTGAAAATTTTAACTTCCTTTCTCATTTCCTTTGTGTATATTCTATGTCTGTTTTCTTTGTGGTTACCATGAGGATTATGTTTAACATCATAAAGTTACAATAATTTGAATTTATACTGATTTAACTTCAGTAACATAAAACTTCTCTTCTTTATAGCTGGGTCCCCATATCTTTTAGTTGTTGATGTCACAAAGTTGTCTCTTTATACATTGCATGCCCCAGAACATAAACTAATAATCCTTTTTTTTTTAAATTTTTTTAAAAGATTGTATTTGTCAGAGAGAGAGAGACAGAGCACGTGAGCACAAGCAGGAGGAGTGGCAGGCAGAGGGAGAAGTAGGCTCCCCACTGCGCCAGGAGCCAGATGTGGGACTCAACCCTAGGACCCCAGGATCATGACCCGAGCCGAAGGCAGACACTCAACCAACTAAGCTACCTAGGCATCCCTAATAATCCTTTTAAATGTGTTAGGGTCCTAAATTAAATAGAAAATAAGACTTGAGTTACAAACCAAAGTTACAGTAATACTGGCTTTTACACAAATAATTGTTTTTTTTCCTTAAAATGTATTAGTCTCTTAAATCATGTAGAAAACAGGAAGCACAGTTATAGACCATTGTTAAAGCAATAGTCGCTTTTGGGGCATGTGGCTGGCTCAGTTGGTAGAGCATGGGACTCTTGTTCTCAGAGTTGTGGATTCTAGCCTCATGTTTGGGGGTAGAGATTACTTAAAAAAAAAAAAAAGTAGCTTTTGTAATTGTCCATGTATTTACTGAAGATCTTTATTTCTCCATATGGCTTTGATTTACTGTATAGTCTCCTTTCATTTCACCTTGCAGGACTTCTTTGAGCACTTCTTGGACGACTGACTGGTCTAGTAGTCATGAACTTCCTCAGCTTTTACCTATTTGGAAATGTCTTAAATTTCCTGCTCACTTTTGAAGGACATTTTTGCTGGATATGGGTTTCTTGGTTGACAGGTTTTTTTCTTTTAGCACTTGGAATGTATTGGTTCACTGTCTTCTGGCCTCCAATGTTTTGGATGAGATAACCTGCTCGTGATCTTATCGAGGATCCCTTGTACCTGTTGACTCACTTCTCTTGTTGCTTTCAAGATTCTCTGTCTTTGGCTTTTGAAATTTGGTATGTCTCGTGTGAGTCTCATTGAGTTCATCTTACTTGGAATTTGTTGAGCTTTTGTTTCTATTCTTGTCTTTATCAAAGTTGGGAAGTTTGCAGCCATTATTTTTTCATATATTCTCTCTGCCCCTTTCTTTTCTTCTTCTGGCATTTTCATGTTGCATGTGTTGGTCCAGTTGTTGGTGTCCGATAGGTCTCTGTTCACTTGCTTCAATCTTTTTTCATTATGTTCCTTAGACTCAATGATTAAGATTTTATTTATTTATTTGACAGAGACATAGCGAGAGAGGGAACACAAGCAGGGGGAGTGGGAGAGGGAGAAGCAGGCTTCC